GTTAGTGAAAACATACTTCTTCTAGCTTCCATTTGAGCTCGATGAAGTCTTTTGAACTTAATAAACTGTGCTATCTTTCGTAATATTTGCTCTAATATATATATTTTATAAAAGTCTTGAATATTTCCAAATCATATATATTCCCTTTTTAACTACTTCAAGGAATGTTGTGAAAGAATCCTTAATTTTTCAACCCACCCAAAAGTTCGCGCAATATCCTCTGCTGCACTGTGGAATTTTGTTTTTATTACCGCCTGCCTGCCTTTCCTTTTTCCTTATTTATTCTCCTCCATTTGGCTTTCGATGCTTCTTGTTTTCCTTTTTGTGCCATTCAGTTGTTGTGCACAATACATATATTTGGGTCTCCGCTCAAGTGTGGGTATTTTTGTCTGGAGGGGTCTCCTCCGATGGCCCCGGCCAAACGTCGTCCATTCAGACCATTGTATATAAATGCAAATTGTTATTGATTATGCTCCACATAAAACTATGAGGGACATAAGAAGAACACTCTGTCACGGGCAGCAGGGAGAAATGTCCACATGGCGCATGAAGCATGCATACATACATTCCCAGAGCCGTAATAAATTCGAACGTTTGCAATTTTTGACCCACAAGCTGAACCTTTGTTTCCTTCCAGGGGGGTTATTTATTTCTAAACGAATTCAATAAAAACAAAAAACAGTGAGGGCAAGATAAACAATTTTCATTTGCACGCCAGCTTAGGCAGTAAACTGAAATATAACCCATACGCCCCGTCGGCCGACCATAAATTCATTTCAAAATGCACTTTGACTGCTTGACTTTTCGCTTAGAAGAAGAGGTCGTGGCGGAAAGTTCAGCCTATTTTATAAAAATAATACACAAGGAAGAAAGTTTACGAGCTTTATGTTCTTTTAAGAAGTATTTTGCTCTAAAGATGAACGTTTTAAATATTGAATTTAAACTCCTACGAATATGAACCCACATAAAGTTATCCAGTTTAGCTTTAATGTTCACTGTTCATCTATGATCTTTAAGTCCCAAATACTTTCTGATTTATTGATTTCCCAGTGTAGGGATGCCAAGAGTAAGGGCCTGGCATGCAGAGTTTCTGGCAAACAGTTTGCTTGCGGCTGCACAACTCAAACAGTTTAGCGGAAACTTTTTGCCACTGACATTTGGCCCCCAAACAGCAGAAGCAGAAGTTTTTCCCGCACTCCGCACAAGTGGAAAAAGGATCCGGTGACGCAGGAACATAATGACTTCTGTAATTACTCCCCTCCGCGGAAAGATTTACCTGCCTGCTGAATCGGCTGTCCAAGTTTTAATTGCTGATGCATGCGAAATTCGAAATCAACAGCAATCCGCAAAACACGCAGCAAATTAAGTGGTTTTAAGAGGGATGTTGAGGAGACATCCCACTGATTGCAATTTCGCGTACTTATCACTGAGAATTACACAAATGCAGCATGGAAATTAGGCAAGGCCATTACGAAATTATGAAATTATGAAATTGCGAAAATTGAAATGCACTGAATGAGGCAGCAAGCCATGTGAAAAAGCGGCGACACAGACACTACAAACTCCCTAACTGGCGGGAGTTAAACTTTTCATTTCTGGCAGAAACTGTCGCAAGCACGCCGCACTCTTTCATATATTATTCAATTTTCTGGGAATTACCGGTAAATGTTTTCCCGGAAAACACCCGTCTCACACAGAAAGTAGAACATTCTTTGATGACGGCAAACCGCAGAGAACTTTCGTTTTCCGCAAAAGTTGCGCAAAGCAGAGGCTTTGTAGCTACATTTAACCCTGAACCCAGAGTGTAATTTAAGTTTTTAGAAATTGTAACTGAGTTTTCATTACCAATTACATTAGCATTTGCAGTACCTTACAGAAAATTAAAGAGTATTTTGTATGAAATCTTCAGTCTTAAGTGAGTTGTTAATATAAATATTTAAAGGCCACAAAAAGTGTGCCTTTTATTGTAATTTCTTGCGTGAAAGCACGATTACAATGTACATGAACATTTGACTTTAACTATTATGGTAATTCTGTGGCATTCAACTTGCGTGTTGTAGACTTTGATAGAGGGCAAGATGGAAACTTTTTTGTCCATTCAGGTGGACACTGAAATGTTTCCCAAAAGCCTGAAGCCAAAACACAACCACGTCGATGGGTAAATCCGATTTAAATGGAGGGTACTCATATTCAGAGTCCCCCATATACATAGTCTGCATTCGAGCTCGAGTGGAGGAGCCCCCAGAACGGGGCTCGGAAACGGGGTCGTAGTTTAATTGAATAAACCCTCGCAAATTGCGGGCCGGGCTTTTCATTCAATTTACCATCGAAGCCCCCCTTCGATGGCAACTTTTACAAGCACCAATTAGTTGAATTAATGCTGAAATTTGATTTGTATTAAGCGCTCGACCACCAGCAGCCGGTTGGTTGTGCCCACCAGGCCGCCAGCTCACATGTGAGCCATGTCCTTGCGCCGATGTTGCTGCTCCATGTCCCGGCGAACATGTAGATACATTTTTTGAATAACTTATTCATTAGATATGCGCGGAGTGGAGCGACGGGTGTCGTGTGTGTGTGTGTATGTGTATATTATTCGTTGTCGGGCGAAATAAATTGCTTTAAAAAGGAGCCGCCAAGCGAGCTGCCAAAGATAGCACAACTTGGCAACAATTTAGTTGCCTTTTGTCCTCCTTGTTGCCACATTCTGCAGGTGCCAAGGCACTCTTTGTATTTCCGACAAGCGCCTATACGAAAACAGTCCCACTCATGTGTCTCAGAAAAAAGGATTTACCAAAGGCAGATACAATCAAAGGGGGGGCGTACACTGAGGCAAATAAGATTTTACAACATAATTATGGTAAAGAAAGAATGTTATTAATAGGATTTCAAGACCATTATAAAGATTTTAAGTCGAAGAATAATTAGAAATAATATATTCTGATAAACTTATAGAGTATTTCTTCTTACTCTTCAAAAGTTTTGATAGCTCTATCCTACTTTTATTTAACTTTTCCTTTGTTTTAGGTCTCCAAAACGGAATACTTTGTTGACCAAGAAAGAGGCTTAGACGCTTAAGTTTCAGATAGCAAAGAGTCCCAGATCCTAATGGAAATAGGAGGCTTTCACTCGCTGAACTTTGGTGCTTGCGGTGTCCAGTGGACGACGTGTGTCGGAAATAAGAACACAAAGGTGGACCCGCGACCAGCCCCTCAAAATCCCGCCCACCCCTTAGTGAGCAGTTCGGACACAGGACTTAGAACTCAGGACTCAGGTCTACGGACTATGAACGGTTGTGGGCTCGGCTCCACATCTCGGCTAAAACATTCACGATGACGACAACAACGACGACGACGTGGTCTGGTCTTCGTGAGTCGCAGCGCTCCGGTTCTGGCACATAATCATTTACATAATATACGTGAGCACCATCAGCACGACCACAGCGAACCAGTCGGAGGAACAACAACAGCCAGCGACTTGGCCAGGATAATTTCACTCTCACAGGACGCGATTTTCGGTGGCGACTTGCCGTGTGTGTGCTTGGTTGTGCGAGTTTGTGTGTGGGTGAAAATATTGCTTCGTTTATGTAACACAACGGCGCGCACATTTTCTAATTCATTTTACTTTTAGGATTGCGCGTGGCACTCCCACCCAACGCCCAACTCGCAACGCCTCCTCCGCCTCTGCCACCTGCCCGCTCCCGACGCGCTTGTCGTTTTTGCGTTGCCAACTTGGAGCGAGGAGCGCGCACCGTCCGCGTTCTGTGCCTGGAAAGGCTCTTCGGGAGACTGAATTGAGACGCGCCAGCCACGAAGCGCCTGAAAAGCACAGGCTTCCCTCGGCTCGGCTCTGCCCTCGGCGCTCGGCAAAGAGGACACACAGCTGACGACAGGAGGTGCGAGTGAAAGCTCTGACTCGGGCAAGCTCCGTGGAAAGCTTCGAGGGTGGTCCTTAGAGTTTTCCTTCAACTGGGAAGCGAAAAAAGTAAAGGACCAACTTTGAATTGGGCTAGGAAGTATATTTCTAGACTCTCCTTTCGAAGATGTGTACTTTTTTAAGGCAAATAAATTTAATTCCGTTACTAATCTTGCTCCTTGTATTCAAAAACCAAGAAAACCACTCAAATCGCCCGGAGTGAAAGCTCAAGGAACTCACATGGCACCCACACACCATACCCGAACCCTCTTGGTTTATTTGTTTTTATGCAAAAAGCCTCGGCTAAGGCAAAGGTAAAGCTTTTATTTCTAATTTGACCCAAGCAGTTATAGTCGAAAATGCGGAAAAGAAACTCCGGCAGCATAAAAATGAGTTATGAACCGAGATACAAAGTATTCACACTTCGTTGAAATCATTGAAGCTGCTGATGAATCTGAAGAGGCGAGTCACGGGGCAATTTTTCAGCCAGGGAACGCGTGCGAGGTCATAAAATCGGTGTTAATACCAATAATCCAAGGCACACTCGTGCTCGTTTGTCTGCCCGTCTGTGGCTGTCGACTTTAATTATCATCGGAGCGCATGCGAGGCCAATTAAATGAACCTAGTCTAACATGGCACTTGGAGAAAAAAAGAGTGCTATATTACCAAAACTGAAGTCGATTTCCAAGACATTCCGCGTTCAGCTACTGGTTCCCAGTTTGACCAAGAAGATTGGATGATTGGATTTGATCATTCGGGTCAGCGGTTTGAAACTGATCCCGGAGGAACTGCGCAATCCCTCGATGGATAACATTGCAGAGGGCAATGCATTGCCGGCTCCCTGGGACCCAAGAGCAGCGAACCCGAAAAATATAAGTTTGCCCACCAAATACATGATCTTATTATTTAGAAGGATACCAGCTCTGAGGATCACATTTAAGTGTGTCCTCTTTATGAAAATATCCCAGGCCTCGGTCATTCGATTGATTGGCTGAAACTAAAGAGTTGCCTCCAAACTATCTCGCTCTTTATGAGGGCTTTACTACTACAATCTACCTAGTTTTTTTCCATGTTGGCTAATAACTCACCTCTCTGGGGTTAGACGAGTGTGTTGGCCAATAAATTTAGGCGCTGCTCCGTGTACCGGCGGCGACCGACATCATCATCGGGAACTGCAAAGAGAATTCGAAAACAGGAGAGAATCATTAGTATGCAGTCGGAATATGGCTCGAAGGGGAGTACCGGCAGCAGACAACTGAGAAATCGTGTAAAAAACGCGTATGTCAATTAAAAGCCTATAACAAAGGGCTGAGGCCCAAACCAGAAGCCAGAGGCACCAGAAGTCAGGTTCGATTCCCACTAACACACAAATCGCTGCACGCAAATGCAAAGCGATGCGTGAGGAGAGTGGGGAAAGGGGAAAGCGTCAAGGCGGCAAAGAGTGGGTGAAAAGTGGGCGGCGGCAGGGCCCCTAATCCCGCCGGGCGAAGGCGCTCTTGCCTACACAGGTCACGTGCTGGCAAAACGACAAAACACGCGCTACCCAAAGTCCCGCACTTGGGAACGTACGGAACTCAGTTCGATGTGTATTACTTACACCCCAAAAAAAAACTAGACTGAATTCCAGAAATTGAAAAAATGTATACTATCTGAATATATTTTTCTTTTGGTAAAATAACTACAATTGAAATATATTTTTCTTTTTAATTCCCTTAAACAATTTTTTACCATCCCCAAGGTATTCTTTTTAGTGCAGATATTCAAATTGGTTTTGCCGGTAAAGTGCTGAACGAAAATTGAGCCAGAGTCGATGGCTATAAAAATGCATTTACCTTTTTAGAAGTTTGCCTCGGACACTGCACTGAATAATCAAACTGAATGGGCAGAATTTAGCTAACAATGTAGTCTTTAGTCACAAAAAGGTATGTAAATCAATTGTTGGCCAATTGAATCGGGTTTTTGCTCGTTAATTTGGGTCAAGGGAAAATTATTAAATGGCAGGAATCAAAGCAGTTGGCCGGCATGACATGCCATTTAACAATTATAATTGAGGTATATTCCCTCTGAAGTTTCGTAGCCAATTTACCCAGTGGGTCAGGACTTTGGCTGCAATTACTTGCTCGTCCCGGCCATCTGTGGGTGCATGTGTCTGTCTGTCTGTCGGTCTGCGACGAGTGTTTGTGGAATTGGAAACAATTAGCAAAGTGTGCAGGAGATTTAGAGCGGAATGTCATAGCCCTAATTGCCCAGGAGCACACACGCTCACACATTCCCAGACGCAGAGGCTAAGCGGAATGAGCTAGAAAGAGGAGGTGGTGCTGAATTTAATGCCGGAGACATGCAAAAATTACATCCTCAATTGCAGGAGCAGACCTCCGTCGTTGTCACTCTCACACAAAAGCTTCCAAATTCAATAAACAAGGTGCTCGTGCGGCCCAGGACACACTGTGTCTTCCGCCTCGCTACCCTCACTCCCTAACTCGCATTGCCTGGCCAACGAGCCGTGAGGATTCTGTACACTAAACAAAATTGTATAGAAATGGCCAACGAATATGTTGGAATACGGAAAGAACATGGCCTCAAGAACAACATTTAAACCCAAATTATGTAATCTCAGCACCCCTGAGTTTACAATTTCGAGAAAAAATATGGGTTAAATTATAATTTAAAAAATAAAGGTTAATTTATTGTAGCTTTACTTTTAAGTGTATAACCTTATTCCCCATTTTCAAGTGTAATAAAGCTGTTACTGCCCCGAGTTGGAGACAATGTTGGTCATGTGCGGCCAGCTTAGAAGCAAAACAAAATCAATTGCACTTGCGGGGCACTCCCTATCTCCATCTCCCCTCGTCTCTTCCCCTTGCCCTTCTCTTCCGCCCCAAAAAGTAGGCAATATAAATTTGCACACAGCTGCCATGCATCTCCCACAAAACACTCGCAGCGCACACGCACACACATTAAGCCATTAGTCAGTGGTCAGAAGAGCGACGGCGAGAACAACAAGGGACAAGGGCAACATGGAGGCAACCAGCAGCAACATCGATTTGGTCGCGCCTGCAGATTCAATTGGAATCTACACAACGGCCACATGCGTGGGTTAAGCCGTCAATGGCTGCAGCCCCTTACCTCCCTTTCGATTCCCCCCGTCCCTAATTCGGATGCACTGGAGTGTGGCCAGACCTACCTTTGCGACCAGTGAAGCTCCACGCTCTACGCTCCATTGAATGGCCGCAGCGACGCCGTGCGAGTATTTCGCCAATTACAGCTAACCACCTTTGACAGAGTCGGCCGGGAGCTGGCCTAAAACCAGGCAGAGCACAGGCGGCAACCAGGCAGCATGGGGATCTTAAGGTGGCAATTGATTGTCGTAAACAATGGGGTCTGATTTAATGGAGAGCATTGCCCGGACAGGCGGTAAGCTGATTTAAATTATTGCACTTGAGGGGGGGTCCTTTTCAGTTTAGGGAAAACGGTTGGGTTTCCTCTTGTGTGCAGTTTGTTGCAGGCACTCAGTAAATTATAACAATCTGCCAGCCAGTAATTGTATTTAAGGAATGCCTTCGATTGGCTTCTGGGCAGTAAATTCCTAAATAAAGGGATAAATATCTGCAATTTCATTTAATAATGCTTAATCTACTTATGAAGTCAATAGTTTGGGTACACCATCTACTAAGTGAGCTTACTGTAACTTTAGACATGAGTTTATCCTAAAAACTTTTTAGGTTTAGCAATCCAAAGAACCTTTTAGGCCTTCTAATTATTTAAAAGATTCTCTCCCCCTCTCCTCTTTCACACCGCTCTCGCAGCTGTCATAATCGCATTTAACCCGGCGGAACCCTTTACTCCTTTACTCCTCGGGCAGGCGGCGAGTTCGTTGAACTCCTGCGTCCCTTTCCTGGGGCAAAGTGTGCCTGTCAATGCTGCTGCCTAATGCATAATTAAGTGAGCCTGAGAGAGCGGTGCAAGTGTGCGTGGAATGCTGCACCTTGTTGTTGCTGCTGCTGGCGGCTTTTCCGTGCAGTGACTGACACACTTAAAGCTGCAGTTAATTTAAAGACCGTAAATGCAAGAGTCACGTTCGTGCAAAACTAAAAAACAAAACAAAGACCGCTAGCATCTGCTTTTTGCATTTGACATTTTACGATTTTACCTATTCATCGGCAGCTAACTATGTACAGTACGTAACGACATAACAACATCAGGCAGGCCCAGCGGCGGTAAATGGTTTGATTTGCGTTCACAAATTGCCGTCGACTTCCGTTCATTCCGTTGGTTTTCACCCAAGACAGCCGCTGGGTGTATCTACCGCTGCAGTTTGTATCTAACAGATACTAACTACACATAGAGAATAGTTGAATGCATGTGTTAAATAAAGGAAATTAACTAAAATACGTGCTTATGTTGTCTAATAGTTATCAAAGCCTTAGATCCGCATTTGTTTCTATAATAACCAAGTTTCATAGTTTACTTTTACTAATTAAAACCTTTTAGTTATAGGCAAGAGTTTTTCTCTCTGTCTCACTGCATCCTCATTACACAGTGCTTACGGATTGATTTCCAGCTGTGATTCGCCTTTGCCCATCAATCAGAGGCTGCAACATCATTTGCATCATTATGCAGCGCAACAGCAACAGCCACAGACATCTTTAAAGTGGGTCAAAAGGTGATTTCGCTGCGCTTAGACACTTTTTGTGCCGTTTGGCAAATTGCCCGGCAGCGTATCGCTGGGTTTTTGCGGTTTCGCGGAGTGTTTGGTTTTTTGTGAAAATGCCAATTGCGAGTTTCCCATCAACGACGACGACGACGACGACTACGACGAAGACTGCGACTGGCTACCGGAAAATCTGTGCACTTCAACAAGGCATACCATAATAATCGCTCCAAACTTGAACTTGATCTTGAAACAAAACGGTTCCATATGCCTGGCCATGCATGCAGGCCCGCCCATTCTCCCCCAGATTATATCATATTTTCCTACGCATTTCCACTCCACTTAATAACAAATTATCTGCAGTGGCAGTCGCGTGCTTTGTCTGTGCTCCGAGTACATTTTGGATTGTTTCTCTTTCAGTTTCTGCTTCTGGTTTGTTTCTTTTTTTCGTATTTTGTATTTTTGTTTGGCTTTTCAGCGCAGCCAAATGTTATATGTATGTCTGTGCACCGTTGCATGTCGCCGTGTATTTTTGGTTGTATTTTATTTTTTGCTACTTTTTAGTGTATATTTCAACCGTTTCTGTTTGTATGCGCACTTCAGCTGTGTGTTGGCCGAACAACAAGCTCACAATTAGAGCGCTCAAAGTCGCGTAACACTCGCCAAATGCCGGCAACTTGGCAAGTACGTAGAATGCCAAATGAGCAGCCGTTTAGTACGGATCTGAATGCATACATCATTTATTTAAGGGGTAATAATGGGTATAATGCAGTCTTAAAAGTTGAGTAATAAGGGATATTTGGTAAAAGCAAGCTAATTTTGAACATAATAATAGACGTGTACAATCAAATTTGACAGTCAACCAAGGCTAAAAGATTGAACTATTTATATTTTAACATTAACAACTTCCTTATGTTCCAAAAATATAATACAACTATCAGGTTTCGTGTATACAAATATAGCAAATCTTCACATTTTACTATAAATTGAATTAATAAATGTATTAAGATTATTATTGCAAGTTATAGATACTTAAATAATGAAGAAGTCATTAAATAATTTCTCAATTTATTACAACAAGAAGCTATGTTATAAGAGGGGTATTATACTCTGCCAAACACAGTCTACCCTCACCTCATGCTTCAGTGTTTTTTCATTTGCAATTTGGTTTTTGTATTTAGAATTTTTTTGTATTTTTTTTTTCGTTGCCGTTGTTTGCAATGTCCGCATGCAATGTTAATTTTCCAGCTTTCCATTTCAATGAGCTAAATGAGACTCGCTCCGAGGCCGGAGGAGAACTGGACCAGACCAATCTGTTGACAGTCTGGCCGCGATCTGAACAAAGGCCTCGAGTGGCTGGCTCACTTCTTGCGCAACTGACTGGCAAGGCACCTGCAATGGAGTATCGATCGAATCGAGGTGATCGTGCTGCTATTTTTCTTTTATTTTATATTTTTTACTGCACAATTTTTTGCTTATTCAGCAGACGACCATCGGGTTCGATCTTCGGTTTCAGCCAAG